AAAAACTAACCCCAAATCATACCAAAACTAGGAATTTTTCAGATTGATTTAACAGCTAGTCTAGTAATTTTTACAAACCTCAGCCAGGTGGTGTAGTTGCTTCTTTGCAATCACAATGTCTTCAAAAGCTGCTAGAATTGCTACAAACGTATCACACGCAGTACTCAGCATTGTGCGTTTGTTGACTAGTTGAAGTGGGTCACTAGATAACGTCAGTACATGTTTACACATTATTATCTGTTTCATCTGCATTTGCGGATGCGCAGCCCACAAGCTACTTAAAAACTTTATTAACTTGAGAGGAGGTCCGAATGGATAATCACTGCTAGATGCTCTCGTTAGCGCTTCCAAGTACATCTCTATGTAATCCAGAGGGTGCTGCCTCGTGGGACAGCCTGTAAAACAAAGTACAAAATTACAACATGGCCGCATATTCTGATCCTTCATTCACATTAAACTATATTTATTATACGAAATTCGAAACGATAGCAGTGAAGTGAAAGACAATCATCTGATCATTTTCCCATTTTTATTATGTGCATAATGTAACCTACTGTTCCACCAAAATACAGAGAAAATGTAGCTCAACTTTATTATCTACTTTGCCCATTAGTTACCAATAAATGTCATCACTTATACAAGTCCAAGCATTAGACAATGAATTTCCTTTAAAATTGGCAAATTTGTCAAAACTTTAGTTTCTATGGTGGAATATTTCATTCTTTCTCAAACGTGACAAGTGACATCTCACCTTTCATTGTCTGCATCAGTTTATCTTCTCGTTTTTCCAGATAATCCTGTTCTGTTTCCTTGATCAGTTTTGAGGTTGCGTACCTGAATTGCGAAAGCTCTAGTGCATGTAGACCCGCTTTGAAAGCTAATTTACGTTCCTCGTCACCAGCGTAATTACTCTTGAAAATGACATCACATAAGTACAACAGGGCAAAGTCTAATGTTGCTAACTTAGTAGGACTCGGAGAAGTAACATGATCCTTGGTTTTGTTCAGAGGACTGTTTTTATCTTCTTTTTCTTTGGCAACTGTAACAATAAGTTACAAGTTGTGTTCAACAATTTTGAAGTAGCATATGCATTGGGGAAATATTTATTCTCCAAGCACCAGAAGGTTAATATTGGAGATTTCATTTTCAACACTTATGATTGAATACAATGTGTTCTATTATAACATTCACAGTGACTTTCGAGTTACAGGTTTTCAAAAGAAAAATGTTAGATGGCGTAACAAAATACCCGGATGTAGATTTCAATTGTAGCTCGCCATTGATTGATAAAAATAAAAATATTGACATACTACGTCACCAAAAATGGCAACTGATAGTGTAATACCCCTGGATGTTCATCTAGAAAAATCCAGAACTTATCAAGACAACATTTTATGCCTTTCTATGTGATAGCATACATGTTTAATGAAATGATAAATTTTCAACTTAAGCAACAGTTACAGCCACAAGAAATTATTACAGAACAAGTTGATTTCATAAAGAACCAGCATTTATACAGCTTTTATCTTTGGGAGTTTTCTGAACATACTCTGCCATTGTATAAATGTAACCTGTGTCTTGTATGCAATGTAATTAATAATAACATCGTGATGATTTTGCTGATGTGTTTATATAGATAGCCGTTGTCAAGGCTACATGCCTTCAGTTTGAAATTATGCACCCGTGATGCAATAATACAAGAATATATCATCCTGTTTTTCTGGCATATGGATCGGTGAATGTGATAGTAGTTTCCCCGGTCTTAGTGGCCTGTGTTGTACATCAACGTTGCTCTAATCTAATCATTGGGCATATCATTTGCCTGCCAGGTCCAGTCCAAATTCAATGAGTTTAGTTACATGTTGCTTTACATTTATTTGTACCATGCTTCTATAGGTCCTGAACCCTTTCGGCATTTAATTTTTTTTATTTTGCATGGCTAAGTGAATAGAACAGCATCACCATTAAAATAAACCTCACTCACTTCGTTTTCATCAACGTACTTTGTTAAGTTATTCTTACTAAAACTGGTAACTCGAAAGTCAGGAATTGACAACGATTATCTGTAGTACATAGTTGAACTAAGACATTAATGGTACATGTATGGAACATTTCCCAAACAGGTTATGATCACTTATGATCATTCCAGCAAACAGTAAACGTACAATTCAAATGTATTCGCCTTTTATATGTAAAAGTGGAAAATAAACATAGAAATAATCGTTACCGTTTATGGAAACTTGGCAAATACAACATACCTTTTCCTTTGGCTTTCCCCCTTCCCTTTCCTCTTCCCTTTGGAGCAGGTGTAAGTCTAGCCCCCTTCTTATTTCTAGTTTTAGATCTTGTTCCTTGTATGCAGCGTTGAAGCTGCTCCCCTTGATGTACTAGGTTCATTGCTGTCCATTTCCATGAAGCCATCTTGTTGATCTTTGTGGAAATTTTTACTAAGTATACAATCCTATAAATGAACAAGAAAATTGGAACTGACTGGTCACCGATAGCGTAGTTGTGATTGTTGTTGTTGTTTGACCTTATGATCAACTTGAACCCTTAAGTGTGTGCACCATAAACTCGTATTGTGGAGGCAAAACCCACTGGTTGAGAAACCTACAACCACCATACACTACTCATGTACCAAATACTTGTTTAATTACTGCTAACCATAGAAGGGAAAGTTATTCAAAAGGATACGTGCCCTCCTGATATTTGTATTGCACAAACCATAAATCACTATTGAAAATAACATACAAGAACCATAACTTGTAATACCTTTTTAACTGAGTTCATAATAACTTGTAACTGTTTAACAGCAAGACACGTGGCTGGCTTGATAAGTCCATGAAGTAGTAAAGTTTCCAATGCTGCCAAAGTGACGCTGAAACTTACCAATTTACCAGTGAAGCCCCTGTTTTAAAACATAAGAACAAGATTACATACTTTTACTACACACTGCGTTATTTTTTTTGAAGGACTTTTTTCAGCAGATAATACTATTTGAGTCAACTCTGTAAATGTACTTACAATAATATCCTGGGATCTTTATGGTGTAGTCTCAGAGTTGCTAAACAGAGTGCTTCCTTGAAGAGATATCCTGTTTGTGCTTGACTGATGCGCTCATTATCACTAGCAGAGGCATTACCATTACCACCCTGATTGTCATCATTTCCAATGCCATCAACAACAAACATATCATCAACTGTATCTATTTCATCGGAGAGATTCTGTGGGACTTCACCTTGTAATACACTTGTGATGTAGTCTTTGCCTTTCAATAATGGCACAACACTGGGTAGCTCAATCCACTGACTGTGACGTACTACATTAGATTTCAAACTACTGGTCTCTCTGCAATATTAAAATTGAAAAAAAATCAGACAAAGACGGGGACAACGATGACAACAGACATTTTCTTTAACATGCAAATAAAGCAAAAGTGATACTGAATCGCAAGAGATTTCAGAGTCATTATTTGATTACATAAACCCAGACAGTACCATTCAGAGTGAGAAGCAACCAACTAATATCAATATATGATGTGTACGGACATTTAAGGTTAAAATATACTTTTACCTGTAGAGTTTAAGTAAGAATGTCTGTAACTTCTGTAGATGTTGTATTGATAACAATGAAGGATTCATAACACTAGCTCTCATTAGCCTCTCAATTTCATGACAAAATCGGTCCAGATCAGGTGCTTCATATCTTTCACGTTGATTCTCTTTCATCACTTAATAAAATTTAAAAAATATTAAATTGGTCAACATTTTATACAGATTTACACTTCAAGCTTTAAAAAGATTGGATGAAAATATTTTGGCACAATAGACATGGCAGTCGAGAACAACATTTAGTATCGGGTTTCAAATATGAAGCTGGTTCAATATGCAAAAATAAAGGATTAGCTTTAATCTTTAGTCCATACCACAGTATAGCCTGAACACAACTATTTTATCTCATCTATTTAAACCTTGCATTACCTTTCACTGTAGCTGCTGCAATAACCATTAATACTTGACGAGCTTTAGCATCACGTCTTAACATTAACTCTTTGATTTTGTTGATGTGCTGGTCAAGAGTGCTCTTTTCACAACCTGCTGGTGTCTCACCAGGTCCATGATAACAGCATCTAGTCAATGAAGAGTTGATACGAGAAATTAGCGATACTTTTTCTGTGCCATACTTTCACGAACAAATGTGGGCAGTAATAATATCTTCAGCAATTATCGATCAAAGCCATGAGCTACGCAACTAGTTAGTATATGCTTGTATAGTTTACACACAAACTTTGTGGTTGAGTAGGATATCAGCCTTTTCTGATGTGTGAAAAATATGTGTAGCCAATTGGGCAGAAAAGGTAATGATATGCAAGGAGATATCATCAATTTTAAATTTAGTACACTAGTCATTGTAGGTGATACTGCATGGAACATTTGAACTTTTAACTAATCAAGGTAACTATTTACCTTGTGTGTAACATACAGGAAGGCATGTTACATTTATAACCCAATCACTACCAGCACTATTGTTAGCTGTTTGCTCACCTGCTATCATGGAGAATGCTAGCCCTCTTCAACTCAGCTATGATTCTCTTACCCAATATCTCCATAGATCTCTGCCATGTATTGGATATGCCCTCTGCTAATCCAATTGTGGGATCAGGCAGTGCTTGAGTCTGGTTCATATCAGATTGAACATCACGCACAGCATCTGAAAATAAAGGAATAGAATAAGTTTGTGTGCATCAATTTGTACAAGAAAAATGTATTGCAAAATAATGATGAATACTGAAACTTGTGTTTGAACCACTTGCTGCAAGGATACTATAACTTAAAGCGTGGTGGTCGGCAGGCAGCATTTGTTCAAATTTCATGTAAATAACCAATGTATATTACACGTGTTGTATACGTTGGTATGAGTCCCATATCAAACAGGATGCGGCGTGACGACTGCCGCCCTTGCATGTCCTGGGGAAACAGTTGAAAACACTAATTCTACAAAATTTGTTCTATTAGAAACGCATCTCTAACCGAAAATTAAACTATATAATGAATCATTAACAATTATGTAAGCACAACTTTCATTCTAAGAAATGGGAAAGAACACATAATAAACAAAAATCTGATATGAACCAGACTCAAATTGTGAAACAAAATGAACTGCTCCTGTAACCCACTGTGACTTGCATACCAGGTCTCTTTGAGATCATTTGTGTTTTGAGGAGTATATCGATCAAATTTCAATACATCTAAAACTTGATAACAATGAACAACATAAACAAAAAAGTTTTTGGGTCAGCTATGAAAGAAATCCAAATTTTATCACATGAATACAAAGTTTTTGATACTAACCGAAGTGCTTGAACAGTTTACCAAGGACTGATCCAGGATCTTCAGCTACATGATATTGCAAAAGTTTTTGTAATTGTTCACGGCTCAATGCAGACAGGCTTTCAGTCATAGGTGCATGGACAGTGATCTAAAAATAATAGATACGACATCAACATCAGTGACAGAGCAAATGTGGAATCCACACACACACATAATAATACATGAAGCATATACTGTATCAATTCTAGTTAAAAAAATATACTTAGAAGTACAAGTGTCACTTCTACTGAACTGCATATATTCTTCCCTGTTATATTTGTAATGTATATTTGAACTATTAAAATTACAATATTGATGAGATCACTGAAACAAAGGACACATGATATTGAATATCTACAACAACTGTGTATTTTCTTCTACAGCATAAATGCAACATGTTTGTAGTAGGTACTTTTCTGTCAAAAATTCAAAAACTTTAATAGCGCATACTGGATATAATTTACAATGTGATTTTACCTGATTTGCATTGCGTATTCTATAAATAACAGCAGCGAGAATATGTGAGCACCAGAGTTGTTTTGGACAGCCAGAACAAGTTGAAGAGACTATTTTACAACGTTCAAACGTGAGAGATACTTGATAGGGACGACCATCACTTATAGTAGCAGTCACCATGAAACCTACATAATCATACAAGCATAAAAAAAAAACAGTAAATAGGAAGCAATCAAGAATACAATATTTGGAAAAGTGATTTGGAGGCTCTTCTATTGAAATCTGGGTTTTGTTTTCATTATATACATGTACTTGTATGAAAATAGTTATTATTAAATATATACGAAAAAAAATATTCTCACCAACTTGGATGACATCTGTCATTTTTTCTTTTTCTACAAACTTAACAGCTGCAGTCCATGCTTGCTCATCGGAATTGACAATTTTATAATAAAGCTTGGCTTCTGATTCATCTCTTGGAAAAGCCCAGAATGCAATCTACAGAAACAAATAAGAACACATAGATTATATATGTAGAACAAGATACAAGATGTGCTCAATTACGTAAATGATTATGATTTGTATATGGTCAAAATAAGTCATATTTTAATGACCCAGCAATTTTGGGTTTATGTATGCTTCTAATGTGGTTTAGGCCTGCATAAAATATTACAACATAGCATGCTAACTAGAATCTCCATCTGATCTTTGCCAGTTAATATTTGGGTAATTAATTATCAGGTAATTAAAGTGCAGAAGAAAGGGTACTCAAGTGATGGGTATAGTCACAAAGCGATATTGGGTTTTATTATACATTTCTGGCATATCTATAGTGTCTGCTTGTAATTGTTCGACATTGCATGTTATTTAAACGTTATTTTAAGATCAATTGTATTGTGATATGCGACAACTGCATTCCAGAACAGCTATGGGCATGGTACAAAGAATGATTAATAATATTTGGGCTCGACATTCCCAAAAGCTAATGCCTCAGAGAATGCTCAACCACATTGCCTTAGTACCATTACATGCAGTCTACAATTGCATTCACAATGCTATTCACCATACAAGGCATTTTATTTGCAGTTTTGGGTCTTTTAGTTTGGCAAGTTGAATACCAAAGTACAACTATAAGTACCCCAAATACATTGTCAGAAAATATGTGATATGCAAGACATGTAAATGAACACACTGCTAGAATTAAAATGATCACAGTGTAAGTAGTGTATTACCTTTTTCCATAGCTGATCATCAAAGGATAAATGCTGTGCTTCTAGTTCATCACATACATAATGTAATGCTGTAGTTTTGGCTGCAGAGTCCAGTAAAGTCAGCGGTTGCTTAAATAATGACTTCTTTTTATTATCAGTAACTGTAAAATAAAACGAGTAATTCTGACAGCTGAAAACTTTCAAAAAATTATATTGAATACATTTGTACATGTATGCTCTTTACCAAATTCAAACAAAATCAAGCAATTGAGTGGACCATATTTGCTCTATTAAAAGTACATCTCCAACAAATGCCAAAGCCTAAAATTGTATTTACTGTATGCTGATTTATTAAAATGACACTTAGTGCAATCATAGACACACCTTTATCATTTATGTAAGCACATATGCCACTAACACAGCAAATATAGTATATTAAGTTATAAGCAGGATTGTACAAATTTTAAGAACTCTTTACAAAATAATTTGCCATCAGCTATCATTTCTATGAACCAACTCAAATGATGTGTATCAAGTAGAAATGCAACAATCAGAATGATAGTCTGGCTAGTAGGCCATTTTTAATTGGATCATTACAAAAATCAAATTACATTTGCTGTATGCAATACGGTAACACGCAGTCTGTGTACTAAGTTTAGATGTTCAATTCAGATACAGTTTAAGCAGACTTTTACAAAACAAAGCAAAAATGGATAATTTACATCAGCCACAAATACTCATTCATATGTGTAACACACTGTTTATCTGCAGCCACAAGAACACAGTTGGTATTAAAACAGTGTCTATTGCCTATGTAATATTTTATTTTATTTTATGAAATTGGGATGGAAGTGTTACTGTGGACAAAGTAAGAGAAACAAACGATATCAAAGAAAATTAGTCTATGTGAACTTAGCATACATGTGTAATGTGAATTGACTTTGTTTCACAAAATGCTGATGGAGCGGGACTGTGTTCTGTTTATATCTAGAGCCGCTCAACTCTTTTCAGTAATGATTATCGAGATAGTTGCGTGAAAAGGGCAATGCTGACTTGATTCCTTTTTGACCGAGAGCAGAGATGTGGTTTTTATTACAAAAGTAACGATGCCAAAACCATGTCAGTCATGTTCTTTTATAGTTTGGCGATGAAAAATAACAAATATATATAATAGTCTTTGTGTAACTATTTGGGTTTTCAATCCTCAAATTACTGAACATGATCTCCATGAATTACGATCAATGTTTGTCCTGTCTCGGTTTGAATGACAGATGTCGACGATCGACATTCCAAACAAATTATTACCTGGACACGATCAATATTATTAACAATTATTATCAAAAGACACGATATTTACAAACACACTGTAATACCAAACTTATGCAAAATTAACAAATACACAAAGATGTATAATGTTATGTTTCATGTGAGGCACATCGTGAATAATCAGGAATGGAGACCCAGGAATTACACCGATGTACTTTGCAAATCAGACAATCATGCCGTACTTGTGTTGATACATTTTTGTGGCAGTACATAACATCAGAATATTGCTTAAACCATCCCAATCAAATCTAGGTCAAAAGGTCAGATTGCGTGCATAAAAATATAGATTTAGTTAAAAACAAGCCATGCATGGCACAGTCCCAGTTAGTTATCAAATTTAAGATATATAGTTTTGTTTATAGTAATATAGCTGGAATATAACCATGTCAGGAATATGATTTTTTTGACATTAAAATGATTGACATTTGTATCTGATCGTCAAACAAGTACTTGTCCATATTGAGACATATTGCTCTGGAACAGCATTCAAAATCATGTATATATATATATATAACATGATGTATAACGAATATATAAAATTTGAATCTAATCAGTCAAAGCATTTAAGAGATATGGCTTTAGAAGGCCAATCATTAAAACAAAATGGCCGCCAATCAGCCATTTTGAATCCAATCTGAAAAATTGAAAAATAAAATGACGTGCATCAAGAACCTGTTATGTCTAATGTATGCTATAAGTTTGAACAAAATCCATCCATAAATGCAAGAAATGCTTGATATTTGAGGATCTTTTCAGCAGAAAAATAGCCACCATTTGGCCACTTTGAATAGGATCGTCAAACCAATATATCCGTATATCTATGACAGGATGTACAATAAATATTTAAAATTTGAACATAATCAGTCAAAACAAGTCAGACACATGGGTCTAGAAGCCCATCATTAAAACAAAATGGCCGCCAGACAGCCATTTTAAATCTGATCTGAAAAATAAATTATGTGCATCAGAAACCTGTAATGTCTAATAAATGTACCAAGTTTGAACGAAATCTATCCATAAATGCCAGAAACGCTTAATATTTGATGATTTTTTATCTGTCTATCTATGACATGATGCATAATGAATATTTAAAATTTGAACATAATCAGTGAAAGCAAGTCAGACATATGGCACAAGAACCACATTCATTAAAAACAAAATGGCCACCAGTCAGCCATTTTGAATCTAATCTGAAAAACAAAATTATTTGCATCAAGGTCCCATAATGTCTAATATATATACCAAGTTTGAACAAAATCCATCTGTAAACAGCCGAGAAATGCTTGATTTTTATATTTTTTAGCACAAAAATGGCCGCCAGTTGGCCATTTTGAATCTTATCTGAAAAACAAAATGATGTGCATATGTATAATATCATGTATGATGTATGTGTGAAGTTTTATTGTGATTGATTGGTCCAGACATTTCTAAGATACAGGTCCGGGCGCACGCACGCACTGACACACAGAGGTCAAAACATAAGTCCCCGTTTTCGGACTGTGTCCAACTAAATATATTTGAATTTTTGACGGTATGTGTATTCAATAATGTTCATTAGTGACGTCATCACCCAGCGTTCCCTAGAAGCAAAACGACACCAGAAAAAGAGGACATTTGTCATCTACTTCACAGCCCGTTTTATACCCGATATTTAGGGCATTTCGCAGCACATACAAGTTGTTTTTATCGCCAGAATTCATTCATAGATCTCAATTTTCATGTGCAGAGTGATAAAAGCCAGATCTCTACTCCCAATTAAAGGTGTGAACAATATTCCAAGCATAGATGGAATTAGTAAAAAAAGATTTAACCTCTTGCTTACAAACATGGAAAAGTAGGCACTGCATAGAACTACAATAGTGTCCTTATACTGCAAGCTATAACAATGTTGCATAGTTTTTATTTTTTTCCAACATTTTTCCACAACACACTTTCTCGGATAGAGGCAGATTTTTAAACTAACAAATAGTAATCCATTTATCTAAACCCAAACACACAATATCACTAAAAAACAGATTCATGAAATCATCGCAAGAGAGAAAGCTTCTTGTCCTAATTACAACCAATTAAGCTTTTAATGACATACATGTACAAGTATATAAACATAATTTTATAATCACAACAGGTACAATTAGAATATTGTATATATATAATATAATAATATTCTAATATAATATTATAATTGTTTTGTTGAAAATTCATACATAACAATAACAGAGGTTTTTTTTAATACTTTAATACAGACTAAAACGATTCGACCATGATTATTTAACAAGCAGCTTCTCGGCTGAGATAGCTGCGCTGTTAGCAATGCACATTTCAATTAAAGAATTGAAGATATCATTAGAAAATGAAAAAATCTAAGAGAGGTCTACCTGAGGTACCTATATAGGTATGTATAGTATCAAAGCAATTACACATGCTTACCAAAAACAATAAAAATATTCATCAAAATTAGATTATTGAAGATAGGCCTACCCAAGGTACATATACACCACGTTTCAAAGCATTCAGGCTTGTAGTTTTCAAGAAGAAGTCAAATAAGTAAAACATTGACACGGACTACGACGACGACGGACAATCACTCGTATGATAAGCTCTGCTCGACAAAGTCGACAGCAGAGCTAAAAATGTTTAGAGCATATCTAAAGATTGGTAGCTTGTTTTTATTTTAATTTCAGCGGAAGAATGTGGTCAAATGCAACAAATGTTTCCAACAATGACAGTCCTCTCCAATTTTACACAAAGAAACACTTATTTCTTTGGCTGCTTTTCAGTATTCTCCCCAGAAAACAAACAAAGTGACGGTACCACCACAGTGCTTTTTTTTACTTTTACACTGATCTAAAACAGCCATAGTCATTATCCTGACTGCCATAAATGACCATAGTACATCACCATACACAAAATAATCCAAAAGTATGGCACCAAGTAGGTGAACTACAAAAAAATTTTTTAGGCACTATAAATTCGTAATTAATAGCAAAAATACAAATAAAGGAGGATGTTTCTGTAACAAAAATGGCTGACTCCCAAAGCATTACATGTACATGTATGCCCACTCAAACACATAAAAATAGAGTAAAAACTCAAATCAATCATTACATAGTTTCAATTTGGATTGTATGCATGAATATTGCATATGACTACTAAAGTGATATCTGTAATGTCGACCAACATGTACGAGATATGGCTCTGTGAATCTGCTCATGTATAACCAAGATGGCAGCCTGTCAGGCATTTTGGATTTGATGGTGTGAAAAATGTATGTGCATTTGTTCAACATGACGTCTAATGTACATGTATGTGTAAAGTTTGTACTTGATTGGCCCAGGCATATCGAAGATGTACTTTTTTATTTTAAATTCAGCAAGTCAGCCATTTTTAATTCAATTTGAAAAATAAATCAAATTACACCATGGTCCCACTATTTTCAATGTATGTACTAAGTTTAAACATAATCAATCCATGCATGACTGAGATCCAGACGAACAATGTTATTTTGATACATTTTTGGTCTTAAAATGGCTGCCATTTGGCCATCTTGAATCAGATCATAAAACAAATGCACATGCATACACAGTATATCTGATATGATGTATATGTAAAGTTTAAACTACAGTGTTTTCCCCAGGATGTAAACAGCGTGGCGGTCCCGCCACAGTGCTTCGATTTGCCACCCACCGGTCTGACACCGCCACAGTGATTAGCAAGATTGCCACAGTGCTTTTTTTCATTGGGGATCTCGTCACGCTGGTCGGCCCGACCGGCACTCAAAATTAGCGACCACCACGGAAACGCTTCTGACCAGGACTATTGTCATATTGTTATTATA